GGCTCTTGTCAGGTGCTCCGTATGCGGCATATTCTAATCACAGTTCTCTGCAGTGCGCTAGTCAGCTCAGCCTTCGGGTTCATGGATCCAGTAGGCTGCCTCTTCTCCGCTCTCTCCCAGAGTCTTCCTCCAGGTTCTCTCAGAGCACTTCTTAGCTGTATTGGGTGACGTTTCACCATCTACCATGGGTCTCCTCTTTGCATTCCCATCGGTTACTATGGCTATAGCTACAGTTCTTATACCTAAGTACGTCATATCGGTTAACTGGTCATGACTGTAGCTGATTTGGGTCCGATGTGAACGAAACTTGGAGATTTCTCTCCCCAATGGGTCGTGCATATGTTCTTTGATCAGGACAACATCACTTCTCACGAAACACGTCACCTTGGCGCTCGGTCTGCTAGTCATGGGAGCTTCCTTTGTAATGTTCGCCGGCCTGTTAGAAGATATGTATCGTATCTGTTGTATCTTCAGCTGACACTGGGGCCAACTCTGAAAGTTACTTCGAACCCGTGGGTGCAGCAATTGATAGCCCTCGGCCTGGCAGGCATAGGCTCCAGTTGGGGCTGGGTGCCTTGCATGCCTTACATGATTGAAGGGGTTCGTCGTTCCCTGCCTAGCATGCGGTTAAATTTGAGTCTCTCAGATACCACCCGAGATGGGCCATGGAGCGATTGATATGGTGTCAGCTCTCTTCAACGGCGGTGCTTCTCTTGGGGAAGCCCTGGGACCCATTCTGGGTGGTTCGCTCACTGGGTACGTAAGTGGGTCATTCATCTGAGAGTATTCACTGTAGACTCCACAGTGTGGAGGCCGCTCTTTCTCTAGTTCGGTTCAAAAGAATCACATAGCATGTGAGAGATCATCGTTATATCCACTACCTGGTAGGAAACAAAACCTTCATTGGTTCGCGCAAGCCAATTTCGAGATCTACGAGAGAAAAATACACATCTTAGTCCTATCTTACATAAAAAAGAGAGAACCAAAATGCACATTTTCTGACTAGAATACTGAGAGTTTCATTGTTGCCTTTGATCATACCTTCACATAGCTATTTTTATGGTCACCGGATCGCTAGGTTTGTCTTGAAACGAAGCATTTAGACTTGAGGTGAAGGCATTTTTCGTCTTTCGCACTGAAACGATGTCGACTCTTCTTCAGTGTTATTGGCTTCTCCCCGGCCTGCCTCTTGTACGCCATATTGTTCCTACTTTACGGCGTGCTGTTCTGGGCCGTAGCTCCAGACACGTCAGCACAAGACCGTCTACTGCCTTATACGGATTATGACGCCAACCCCGGTATATCCGCGGCTAGGATCTCCCGACGTTATTCTACCGTTTCAATCATGAGTTCACCCAGAGAGCCGCGACGAGCACCGCGGGAACGGAGTAAGCTCATTGGAGCAGTTGCAGCTGCAATGTTCACGTCCTTCAGGTCAAAGCTTGCTCACTGGAGTTTATGCTTGATGAAATGTATACGTTAAAGAGAGAATCCAGTTCTTCGACACCATTTACGATACTTCCTATCTCTAATATGATTCATCCGTACTATCCTCTGTGTAATAGGAGATCATTCACCTGCCTTGTGTTAGTCCTGAAATAGTTCACTGTAGCCGTTTAATTGCTTCGTTTTTTCTCCACTATGATCGCTTCGGAGCCTATCAAAAAACTGCTGGATGCTCTGTGCTCACAGCTTCATCTGAGTGCCAACGCCCGCGTTCCCTTCTCTTGGGAGTCGATTCTTTTATGCCGGTACTCGTGTCACTCGCTGGCATCATTGGCTGACATCATCGGAGTCTTCGTGCAAAGCCCTTCTTCCAGCATGGGATATTATTCCCCCCGAAAATCATATCATCTTGAATCAGGTCGCTGTTCACGATCTGTGAGTACTCCGCTTCGAGCAGTGCTTTTGTTCGTCTCTATTTATATATCCCCCAAAGTCATTTTCGAGTTAGTCATGTCATTACGAGTGGGGGAGGCGAGAATATACCTTATCTTCAGCGGTTGTTATCTCTTTTTGATCGCCTCTTACGATGGTTCAACGGGGAGGCAAACGTTTGAAACAGCCGCCCTCGTCTTCGTCGTCGTCGTCTCCATCAGCAGCAGCATTAATTACTTCGAACCAGTTATTGGCTACCCAGGTAAAAATATTAATATTCCGCAGCGAAGTTCATTTCACCTCACTTGAACGAAATCATCGACCTAAGTGAAAAAGCTTGGCTGCGCAAGAGTGTTGCTCAGCCTGGGCCGATGGCATAGTCGCCCCGGTCGGAGGAATTAATTGCACTGAAGCATATCTTTGGGTGGCATAGTCGCCCCGGTGGGGGGAATTAATTGCACTGAAGCATATCTTTGGGTGGCATAGTTGTCCCTAGTAAGACGAATTGATTGTACTAAGTCATATCTTTGGGTGGCATAGTTGCCCCAGGTAGAGAAATTAATTGTACTAAAGCGTATCTTCGGGTGGCATAGTTGCCCCTAGTAAAACGAATTGATTGTACTAAGTCATATCTTATGATGGCATAGTCGCCCCTAATGAGGGCGAATTTATTGTACTAGATATCTCTTACGGTGGCATAGTTGCCCCTAGTGAGAGCGAATTGATTGTACTAAATATCTCTTACGGTGGCATAGTTGCCCCAGGTGGAGGAACTAATTGTACTAAGTCATATCTTACGGTGGCATAGCTGCCCCCACGGCAGACTAAGCTTCTTAAAACTATTGTTGGGGAGGTATGGTAATCCACATCCGGTATGTATCAGGACGCCGCCATTCTGCATCCTCACCAAAGTGGTGACACAACGGCAGCAGGGATAGGGACA